GTCTAAAATCGAAATCGAATCGAATCGAACATTTGGTGTATCGTTGCAGCCCTAAATATAACACATAAGACTTCAAAGTTGTTAAATGCTTTGTTAACCGCAAAATTGCAAGACAATTGCCAAGAAGCTGAATAAAGATTGAAGATGGGGAAACCTTCACACCAGACATAGGAGAACCTAGCTTTACCCTGTTAATTGAATCAGATAATTCCTTAAACCCAATCATTTTGATAAAATACAGGGATTTTTTTTGGCTTATTTTATAGCCGTTATCGGGTCATATTCCCAATTGAAAATAGTATATTATTTTCCCAATCCACAGGAAAAAATTCCCAATGAAAAGTTACAAAATAAAAATATTGAATAAAAATTCTAAAATCATTGAAAATCAAGGCTCTTTCACTGTAATAGTGCTTAAAATATTTGAAGATACCATCCTAGACAGTTATTGTTTGCATCCATTTCATCAATGTAAAATTTCATTCATGCATTTTTTCCCAATTCTTAATCTTAACAAAACACTGCTAAAATTCCCAATTCCACGGGTATGGGTCATGTTCCCAAAATCCCTGAAATAACAGAAGCTGCTTTAGAATGCTGCTTTCCTTACATGGAAGATCTAGAAGATTTTAAGTCCCCAAGTAATGCAATAAAGATTAAATATGACCTCCAAAGAATGGTGACTGCAAAATGGGCCATGATTGTGAAGACAGAGCCTCTTTCAATAGAAGCTAAGTAGATGCAGACACTTCTTGACCATATCAAAGTGGAATAGGCAGAAAAGCTGACAAGGCTGGCCTATACAATTTTCTTCTCCAGAACCATAAAACGTTAAACATTATTTTTTAGTGGATCACTATAAAAGATGTTCAAATCATGACCCCTTGTTCAAATTGGCCCTGGCCAAAGACTTTTAATAGACATATATGTATAGTGAAGTCTTTGAAATTCTCCTGGACATCTAGAGCTTATATATTTTGCATGAAGCATTTTCTATTGGGTCACCTGCAGAGTTCCCAGTTCATGATAATAATAGATAAATTGGCCCTGTTAAGGAGCTTAGCAATTTTATAAAGAATTATATGGCTAAAACCTAGATAATCTACTTTAGAACCACAAGGCCTAAAGCTTAGATCATAAGCAAGTAAAATAATAAAGTTGTTTAAATCAAGACCCCTGGAAACAAATTGACCTCGTCCAGCGGCTTATTTGTGTTCTGAAATTTTTCAAAATCTTCTGCAGGGTCATGAGGTCTTTGCATGTAGCAAGTAATGGGCCACAATGGTCTTTCACTAAGTTGGGGCTTACCAGTGTTTAAATAATTATATATGGTCTTTGCATGTAGCAAGTAATGGGTCACAATGGCCTTGCACTTGGGGCTTACCAGTTATTTATTATTTATTGAAACTTGAAAAATCATCAGAACTAGTAGGCTTTGAGATTGGATATTTTGAAAGATTTCCCACAGTCACTTTCAAAATTGCTCTGCCCAGATAGCCTTTTAGCATAACATAATAGTTTTTGAAACACTTTTTTCTCCAGAACTACATGGCCTATAGTTTAGATACTGAACTACTATCAAATGTCCCTAAATCAGGAGCCTGGATACAATTTAGCCTAGAATGTTTATCATTTTAAATCTTTTAAATAATTTTCACCAGCAATTTTTAGGCACAAAAAATATAATATTATGTACCTATATATAATGCTAGTATTTGTTATTATTTGTTTGACTAGGACTAGAGTTAAGCAAAAACAAAAACATCTTGTGGTTCAAACTACAAGCTGTGAAAAATTATTGTAGGTATGTCAGAAAAGCATTATTTTGGTTGTAAAATAAATATCAAGTTTATTAATCATGACAATTGGTTCAGGTTTGACTAATAAAAGGAAAATACATAGCTCAGACAACTAACAGTTACTGTTGTATTAAAATTGCTTCCATTTTGTTGGGGAAAAAGCTCTTCAACATGGAATCAATGTTCATTATCTATTTATAATATTAACACTTACAGTACAGTATTTGTCACATGTAGCTTGATAAGCTGTGAAGGCCTATGTTAAGAAACAGTTTTCTGTCCGGGTAACCAGAACAATAGTATTTTGTTTTGGTCTAAACACACAAGAATAGACACACAAGTATGGATATAGGAGCCACATAATTGTTCATTTGTGAGTAAGAAATTAGCCACATTTTGATTTTAGCCACATTGTGCTTAGCCACATATGTATCTAAATGTTAGTCTGTCCGTCCGTATGTCCCATAATCTTATGAACGCAACTCCTCTTAAACCGGATGGCAGATTTTGCTTAAACTTCCAGGGATGAACAACCTTAATGTGTAGATGGTAGTTAAAGGAAGGAATTTTTCCTGCAACCAAATTAAACAGAATTATGGCCCTTTATTGATTTTTTCACTATATACTATAAATTTTGTGAACACAACTCCTCTTAAACCAGATGGCAGATTTTGCTTAAACTTCCAGGCATGAACAACCTTAAAGTGTAGATGGTAGTAAAGGAAGGCATTTTTGCTACGACCAAATTTAACAGAATTATGGCCCTTTGTTGATTTTTAGTTTTCAACTTGTGGCACATGTAGTCCAAAAAATATTTGACCTAGAGTCATAAGATTGACAGAACAGTGGCGTGTGGTGATCATCCATCAATTAGTTCTGTAGAAGAAGATGTTTAAAGGTTTTTCTATTTTTAGCTCTGCTGACCCCTTAAAGGGGCCAATTGGAATGACATGAGCAAATCCAAATCTCCCAATTCACCAGTGGAATGAACGATGTAAACAAAGCATGGGACATGATCTCTTTACAAGCAGACCTTTTAAAGCCAATCATCTGCTTTAAGCCCAAAGAAATCTTAGGAGAAGATATGCTTAGACTCTTCAATGTCAACTACAGTGAGCCTGGATCCGACAACAGAGCGGTTAAATTTAGTATTAAATCATAAATCCCTTAAAGGGATACAAAGGCAAAATTTTCATTTCTTCGTTTTGAATTTTTCATTCATTTATCTGTAAATGTCCTCTAAATGGATACACTAGGCAGTAGCATGGACAAATCTTATCGTCCTATAAAAAATAGAATGACGGTTTCCTAACCTGACCCGCGTGGGTCAGGTTAGAGTGTTAAAATTTCACAAAAGTTGTCAAAGTGAACTCTGGAAACGTTAAAGAACATGTGAAATGAATGAATAAGGTTTGTTTCAATCATACCATATCCACAATATTTGTTATTATAGTTTCCAGGGCTTGATAAAGTAGCATTGCTAGTTTTACAACTTCTCAGTGATTCTGTCGGCGTCTAAATTTCGTTCAACATATTTAAGGATATCTACGCTTCAAATCCAAAATATATAGACTTTTTACAGAAATTTATGCTGGGATTTTTACAAATGTCATTTTAGCGTGATTCGAGTACATAAGATAATTTTGATATTTTTGTGATAAATTCGCCTGAGTATCCCTTTAATGGATTCTAATTAAACAATATACCTTATTAAAAGGTTTATCTGTGGGCAATTACCTCAAAGTTTTGGCCACTTAGATGCCATTTCATTTTCCAGGAGGTATTGGGGGGTGGTATTGGTCACTGTGACAGCTCTAGTTTTATTGGGTTTGTGTTGCTTCTTTAAGTCTGTGTGGGCAGGTATTTTACTATGCATGTTGTTGTTTCCTAATTCAATCATTTCCTTTTGTTCTATTTAAAGAGAAGCATTGCAGTGATTTTTTCACTGTATTTTACAGTAATAAAGGCTGTTTCACCTAGCCCAAAATAGGTAAAATGTCCCCTTAAAATGCTCATATTTCCCCTAAAATGCCTCTTATTCTTCCTAGCCAGAATTATGACTTAGAAGCATCTGACTTATATTAGCTAGAAGACAGAAATCTGTTCCTATAGAAACATTGTAGCGTCTGCTATGTACCATGCATGTTTAATTGAATTGAGATCAAAATTTTATATAAAATGTTTGGGTGAATAATATTTCCAGTTGTTGGAATTTGATTTCAGGTTTTCCCCCTTTTCTGTTTTATCGAGCTATATGATCCCCTTTCGAAGAAAGCCACAGGTTGTTTTGAAAATTGGAAGAAAAAAATCACTGCAATGAAGTGACATTCCCTGAAGTTCTCATTATTTTTCGTAAGGCCTTCGGCCTTGCACATGTATACAAATAGCATGTTTATCGAGGTTCGCGAGATACGCACCGCATTTCAAAGATAAAAACGCAAAATAAACTAGTCGTACTACGTCACACACATCATGATCACTCGAGCATTTGATAATTATAGTTTACCGAGCACTGGATAGGTACACACGTGTTGTCTCAGGCTGAATTTTATTCAGCTTTTTTCACCTTTTATCAGTAAGTTTCTTGGTCGAGACAGTTTTTATTTTGCACAGCTCTTTGCCGGCACATTGTTTTGTTATTAGTTTTTATCTTTGGTCCTTTTTATTAAGGAATAATGAGCTGCAACCAGGACGAAGTCCTTAGTCTATGCACCGAATCATCTGACTCTGGGGAAGAGTAAGAAGGCTTCAAAGAAGCTGATTTGACTACTGAAATTGTTGCAACTTCTGCTGTTGGCGCAAAAATTGAGGTGCAAGATTCTCCAGTTAAACGGAAGAAAAATTCTAGGGCTAGATGACTGCTTTACTGGGAATTTTCCCAATGAAGAAGATAGAAGGGACCTTGAAAAGGCTTTGTTTGGTGAAGATGATGAAAATTCAGAGACTGATGATGAGTGGGATTTACCCCAGATCTTGGTTTCCGAGAAAGGTTCAAGTATTGACAAAACTAGTTAATTCCTCTTGCACTACTCAGTCAAGTGTCTCAGATAATTTACATAAGTATAACGTGCCAGAAAATTGTGATTTCTTGGCTCCACCATCTGTTAACCTTGATGTTTGGAAAGTTTTAGGCAAGAAGGGTCAGAGTCAGGATCGTTGTTTGGTGGATATCCAGAATATAATTGTGGCTGAGATGGTTGCAGTCAGTTTAACAGTTTTCGCGAGTAGAAATAAGCGTTCCCAATAAAAATAAATCAACCATCTGCTATCTATATCGTCGGTGTTTCGCTCTTTCTCAAGTTTCTTTGTAATTATTGTGAGCGCTTAGACGTATACACTCTCAAATGTTGGAATATTTTGTTCTTGAAGTGTTACAATATAGCCAATTCATAATAGAAATGGGTAAAAGTCGATTTCAATTGAAATGGCTGAAAAATTTTAGTTGGGTACAGAAATCAAGTGATATTAGAAAGGCGCATTGCCGAGTTTGTATGAAAAATATTGAAATCGGTAGTATGGGAGAGAGCGCCCTGAAGTCACGAAAAAGTTGAAAGTCACAAAGAAAATTTTAAAAAACAACAGAAACAGGGATCATGTAATTTGTTTTTTGTTAAACAAGAAGGGATTTTTATTGAGGCTAAAAAGACTAATTCTGACTCAAATAACAATGTAATAAATGATAACGAGGTTGCCTCTATGTCAAAGCCTAAAGAAGACTTTTCCAGTGGTTTGTCTTTGTGACTGAAAGTATAATATAATAAGGAATGGTTCCAAAAATAAGAAAAAAGAAATTGAAGAACTTGAAGTGCAGGTAATAAAAGCAAAAGTTGATTAAAAAAGTAAAAATGTTAAACAACATGTATTTTTCAATGAATGTTGTGGCTAAAGTATATTATTAATAACAAGAGCGATCAGTAATCACATGTGTCGCCTCATGATGGCCAATTTCATGTTGGGACAAATTTTGTGACAGACAGACAGACAGACGGACAGTGCACAACTAAACTTGGTACTGATCATTCCTGTAAAGTTTGGATAAAATTGCATCAGTAGTTTATGAGGAGTAGTCCAGAAAAGCTTTTGTGTATCTGGCAACACACAGCAAAAAACACCTTTCTATCAAAGGGCAATAACTCGGCCAAAAATCATTCAACCAGAAAACCCTTGCAACATGCGCAAGGACTTGAGCTACAGATCAATCCTGTAAAGTTTCATTGAAATTGCATTAGTGGTATAAGAGAAGTAGTCCGGAAAAACTTTAAAAATAAAAATTATTAAAGGGCCATAACTCAAACAAAAATCATTGAACCGGAAAATGCTGACAATATGCACAACTAGACTTGGTACTGATCATTCCTGTAAAGTTTGGATGAAATTGCACCAGTAGTTTATGAGGAGTAGTCCGGACAAGCTTTTGTGTATCTGGCAACACACAGAAAAAGAAACCTTTTTATTAAAGGGCATAACTCGGCCAAAAATCATTCAACCGGAAAACCCGTGCAATATGCGCAAGGACTTGAGCTACAGATCAATCCTGTAAAGTTTCATTGAAATTGCATTAGTGGTATAAGAGAAGTAGTCCGGACAAACTTTAAAATTAAAAATTATTAAAGGGCCATAACTTTGACAAAAATCATTGAACCGGAAAATGCTGACAATATGCACAACTTGACTTGAGACTGATCATTCCTGTAAAGTTTGGATGAAATTGCACCAGTAGTTTATGAGGAGTAGTCCGGACAAGTTTTGTGACAGATGGACGGACAGACAGACAGACAGACGACGGAGAAGTGATCCCTATATGTCAAATCTTTATAATCTTTGCTTAAAGTTAAATCTTGCAGGAAACAACGTGCGAAAATTGTCCTTGAAAATGCAAAATTGGTCTTGAAAAAGCCCTTGAAAAGTGCTTAAATTAAGACTACATGATTCTGTTTGAACCCTGGTCTCGTGTCACTGACAGTCATTCATGATTCGGTAATTAAACTGGTTTGCGTTTACTCACGAGATTTATATCCGAAATCTTTGTTTTTGTCAGTGTTTGTTCAGAAAATAACTTTAATTAGCAATTCAAACAAACACATGATTTTAAGTTTGTGATCACCAAAAATCCCGGTCGATGCGAATAAAAGAGAAGCCATTTTTGTTGGACAAAGTTTTGGTTCAATGCACACGTTCTATTTATAACTCACTCACTTATAACTTCGTTACTACGGGTCAAAAATACTTTAGTTTCTTATGCAACACCGCATTCGTTTCATTTTTCAGTCTGCTCAATTTTGTTTCAAATTAAATTTTATTATTTTTATTTTAGAAATCCTTCTTTTTTCACACATCAACCAAATTTTAGTATAATGTAACCTTAAAAACAGTCTGGATCATAGGAGCGCATTATTCCACTGTTAAGCTTCGAAAAGATAAAGATCAAAGAAAATATCGTGAGTTGGAAAACAGAACAAAATGTCAATTTTTAGCGTCCAAATACAGCGCCGAAACAAAGTGATAATGCCATGGACAATATTCTATTTTATTTAATGTTAACCAACATGTATTGTGCTCAAAATGTTAATTTCTTTTTCTCAAATATTGATTAGTGTCATTTGATTAACAGGTTTGACATTACTCATCATATATATCTACTGTATAAATGTGTTGTTTTTTTCAGAGGATCACCCGGAAAGTCTTAAAAAACTTGCGGGCAACTTCAAGGAGTTTTTAAATACTTGTCTGGCCGAGGAGGCAGATGAGGATGTGGAGCAATGTGTTTCAGAATACATAAAGGGTAGGTAACTAATACCAAATAAAATCATGCATTTGATCATTTTTTTTTTAAAGACGTAACACATAAATATTATAAAAAAATTTATCACACTTTTCTTACTCACAAAACCACAGACGTATATTGATTATAGGTCCATGACAAAATGCATCGTGAAACATCAAAGATAAATGTTGGATATTGGATTAGACATTGTTAACAAAACTAGAACTCTGCGAGTCAGATGTGTCGCCTTGTGAACAATATAATTTAGGAGAAATGGCCAGGACAAAAATGAAATATGAAAACTAACAAAGGGCAATAACTCAAAAAATAATAAGTGCAGAGCAGCAGTTTCTGTGCACTGCACTTCTTATCAATAAGATCTATCATTCTATGAAGTTTCAAGTCCATGTCTTATAATCTTTGAGAAATAGCCTGGACAAAAATAAAGTATGAAAATTAATAAAGGGTAATAACTCACAAATAAGAAGTGCAGAGTACCGGTTCTTGTACACTGCACTTTTTCTTAATGAGATCTATCATCCTATGAAGTTTCATGTCAATAACTTTCATACTTGAAAAGAAATGACCAGGACAAAAATAAAGTAAGAAAATCTACAAAGGGCAATAACTCAAAAAATAAGAAATGCAGAGTACCTGTTCTTGTGCACTGCACTTCTTCTTAATGAGATCTATCATCCTATGAAGTTTCAAGTCCATGGCTTTTATACATTAGGAGAAAAGGCCCGGACAAAAATTAAGTATGAAAATTAACAAAGGGCCATAACTAAAAAATTAAGAACTGCAGAGTACCGATTCTTGTGCACTGAGATCTATCATCCTATAAAGTTTCAAATTCATAGCTTTTTTAGTTGAAGAGAAATGGCCCAGACAAAATTAAAGTATGAAAATTAACAAAGGGCAATAACTTAACAAGGGTGCCATAGTCACAAAATACGGCCGTTTACGAAAGCTTTAGATGGAGATGGGGGCATTATGGATAAGTGTTATCTAGCAAGCAAGTTTTTATCCTTGGCACTGTGTTGTTAAATGAACCTTAAAACAGGGAAGATAAAAAGTACATGTAATTGTAATTTAATAACTAAAAAATTCTGATTTAAGATTTTATTCTAGGGAAATACATTTCATTACAATTCTTAATCTTTGAATGAGCTGAACTGATATTTACTTGAAAATTAAAATATAATTAAATTTCTATGAGAAAGTATTTACATTTGATAAGGTAATTACTGTATGATCTTTATGAACAAATACCAAGTCTACAGAACACCATAGTTATCACAGTTAAGAATCTTGACCAATGAATGAAACATGTGTAAATAAATGTTACATTCTTTAGAACATACTCAAGTCCAGAAAAGAGGATTATTTTATGCCCTTTGATTAAATTCTATTTTTAGAATTGAAAGTGAAAGTAGATCAAGGGGAGTAATTGTGTAAGTCATTTATGAACAAAGTAATAACTTTGTTGTTGCCTTTTGATTAAATTCTATTTTACAAAATCTGGATATTTCATCATCTTTAGTGACCTTGACCTTGTATATATTGACCTAAATTATATGTATCACAGCCATAGTCTTGATAATGACCATTTGTGTTACAATCCCTCAATAAATGATGACTAAATGGTCCATATACACATCTTCATATTTTCATCTGAACTTTGACCTCTATGTGTGACCTTGACCTTGGCCGCAAGGACCTGAATCTTGCACGCGACACTCTGCCTCACAATGGTGAACATTTGTGCCAAGTAATATTGAAATCCCTCTATACATGTGGAAGTTTTGCTCCGGACAAGCATAAGTTTGAAGTCAACCAGACTAATAGTGACTGAGTTATGCTCCGGACAAGCTTTAGGGGACGCCGACAACGCCGCCGACAACGCGAGGACGCCGCCGACAAAAGTAACCCCTATATGTCACCTTTTCAAGGAGACACAAAAACCTAGATGAGTAAGCCTTTCACCTCTGCTTAGACAAAAAATCTGGTTCTGAGGGAGGGGCACAAGTCAAAAGGTTATGACCTCTCTATGTTATCTGGATCAGCCCCTTAAATTGATCACTTTAATGTGTTACCTCTCCAGATTTTATATTATTATTACTACCTTCCAACTGTATGTTTTTTTATGTGTTACAGGACACATACATTTTAGACATTAATGTTTATATTTACACTCCTTATATCAAACCTTCCCAAGATGATTGAACAAAGTATCATTTCTGCTGTTCACTAACAAGTACAAGGTGAAATGAAAACACTTCTTTGAACTTTTAATTTTGTAACATACAAGTCTCACTTTCTTACAGGTCTGTCCCAGACTGTCTCAAGTATTGGAGAGCCAAGGCTTTCTTTGGAGGTAAAAGCTAAAAGTGCAGATAATGATGAGGTAACTCTATACAGTAATATTTCCGAAACTTTGGAATGTTTTCGTTTTAAATATCATTACGTAAGCGAGTTCTTTAATGGAATATATAATGGGAGTATAATGTAGGATCCATTTTTTATTAAAGCTTGTCTGTTGGTAGAAGAAAAATAGCAACAATGACGCAATTTCTAACAAGAGCACCGCTAGGCGGAGCATTATATGCCCGAAAGTATATTTTTTTTAGTAAAGAACAACACATCCGAGCTTTGCAACTTGGTGTGGATGCAGCCGACATCAGCTATGCTTGCAAAGGTACCACGGTTATAAAAAGGGAGAAAGTTGTATTTCACAATGGAGACGTGTATTGTTTGGAGACGTCGATCGTTCCAAATCCATCAGAAAATTCGGCAAGAGCAAGAGAAACTCAAACGACATCATTCAACTGCAAGCACTGTGGACATCATCCATATTTGTGAGAAAGCTACAATAAAATAAGGAAAGAAATAATTATCGTGTTGTGACTGTGTATTAATAAATAATAAATAAAATTCATCATTAAAAAAGAACTTTTGGACTGTGAAAACTAATATAAAATTTACATTTAAAAATTTCATTGTGATAAAAATTTATATTATAATTATAATTAACTTATGAATACATAGTGTGGTTAAAAAGACTGGCAGTTTTTTTAAGAAATGATTCAATTTACTTGACCCGTTGCACAGAATGCAGCTTTCAATACACTTTTTGTGTGTTCTGTTATTCAAATTAGACATATTCAGTATGAATTTCATAGATTTCAAACAATTTCTGCAACAAAAATATTTCTCACAAAGATGAGCCTAGTACATCTTTAAAAGAACAAGAGATATATTGTGTGTATGAGCTCATTTTGGCATTGCTTAATGAAAAGGCCTAGATGATGATATTGCTAGATTTATCTTAGAGGTCATATAGAAGGTTTGAAGAAAAAGTTGCATTTACAAAGAAGTGGTTTTATAAAATTAATCTATTAAATCTAATAAAACATTGATAAAATTGTTTAAAATTCATTTGTAAGGTCTTTAAATGAGTTATGCAAATTAATTAGTTCACCTGTGACTTTATAGATGAACATCAATTTTTCAAATCCAAAGCATTCATATCTTTGTCATTTCTTATGCCATTTCAAAAATATTCGTATTGTTTTGTCCAGCTTTTGAAGCTCTGTAAAATTAAAGAATTTGTTAATTTGAAAATGTTCTTTCAATAATTATGACCTTTAATTATGTGATTTTAGAGGAGTAAATGTCCTTCCATGTTAAGATTATGGCTATAAATATAATTGGTGTATGTTTTCCAATAAGTTTAAATGTCAATTTATGTGGTGCAATTTACAATAGAACTTTGTTAAGTCGGAGTTAAAGGGACTGTCATAAAAACTTCAGTACATTGGGACTTCAACTTGTGTTAAGTTAAAAAGCAATGCCACTTACTTAAGAATATAACATTCTGACTTAGACAAAATTTCGAGCCTTGGCATATTGTGCTGCTTTTACGTCTGTGATGCTTGAAAATTAGGTCATTAATTGCAAGGTCAAGGTCACTGAAGGTAACAAAATATCTAAATTTTTTGTCTGGGGCATATCTCCTACACACAAAGTGGGATTTTAATAAAACTTCAAAGAAATATTCACCTCTATGAGAAGCTGTGTTGTGCAAATGAACTAGGACTCTAAGGCAAAGGTGAAGGTCATACATAGAAGTTATCAGGGGCAAATCTTCTTTTTTGCAAAGAAGAATTGTAATAAAACTTGGCACAAATGTTCACAATTGTGAGGCAGAGTATCATGCACATAAATCAGGTCCCTGCTGTTAAGTTCAAGGTCACACATGGGGGTCAAAGTTTAGATAAAAATATGAAAATGTATAGGAACCATTTAGTCATCCTTAATTGAGGAATTTTTGCACACATGTTCATTATCCTGACTACGGACATGAATCTGATGCAAAATCAAAGTCACTAAAGATGATGAAAAATCTAGATTTGGTTTGGAGCATATCTCCTACAAGTATGGAAGAATTTTTATAAGACTTTCTAGAAATGCACACCACCATGGCTCCATGCATGATTAATTCAAGGTCACACTCAGAGATAATTGCTATGCATAGCCAGAATGCCCAGATCTCCTTCAAAAGCTTTAGTGATGGGCTTATATTGCGACAATGTTGCCCTTATTGATTAAAGGCAATTGTATTCAATGTAAATCCTACCAAAGGATTACTTCAAATAAAAAAAAGCTGATTTGGTAGTGGTGGTGGTAGGAGGAGGGGGTAGAGACCTAATAAGACCCAAGCATTAGGAAGCAGTTGCTGTCAGGGCATCAATCAGATCTTTCTTAAATATAATTTTCAGTTAATGTTGAACATTACCAATCAATTGATGGCAAGAGGAACTATTCCAAAAAAGCATATTGCTACTATTGTAAGAACTTGTACAAGTCAAAGATATCAAAGCACATATTTGCTGCTGCATGGAAAACAAGGGTGAGAAAAATCAGTAAAATGGAACTGAGAAGCAAAGAAAGAAAAGCAGAGTTACAGAAACTGAAGAATGAGGGCAACTTCAACCATAATGTTGAGGTAAACAAACTTTATCAATAATATTATAGCTCACCTAAGCACAAAGTGCTTATGATGATCTTTCTTGCTCCTTAAATGCATCATTGTTCATGGGACTTCTGTATATCCCCTGGCTAAATTTTATTCTACTTTGCACTGATATTTGTTGGTCAGACCTCTACTAAAGGGATGTTGAAATACAAATTTTAACAAGCTTCTTGTCTGAAACCAGAAGGTCTACAGCTCCTATTAGTAGGTATAAAATAGGCTGGGAAATCATACGGGCAGGGACATACGGGCAGGGGCATACGTTGGGGGGGTACATCATACGTTGGGCAGGGGCATACGTTAGGGCACATCATACGTTTTGGGTAACAGCACACGTTGGACAAGTCATACATTATAGGGCAAATCATGCGTCAAAAGAAAATTTATGACTTACGTCACGTGTCAGGTTGTATTTAAAATCGTTGGTTTTGGTAAATAGAGCTCATTGCGGACCAGAAACTTTATTGGAGCAAAGTCGTTTAGCTATTTTATGGAGGCTAATACCGTTTTACCTCCTGAACTGTGCAAGGGGATTTATGATGATTTTGTGAGAAAACCTTACATTCCTTTATCACGTGTCTTGAATTTCGAACTCAATGAAGTGACATTGTTCTGCATTTTACCAATAGACTTCTATTTTCATCTTAGCAATGACCTGAAAATTAGACAATGGTTAACTGTTCCAGAGACGTTTCAAAGGTTTAAGTCTTTATCGTTAAAGTTGTAGAAGAAAAAGAATGTCTCATTAATCTAGATTCAATTCACTGGGAGGCATGGTTGGAATTTGTAGTAAATAACCCCAAGGTGTGCAGAACCATTCATCACTGGAGAACTGGAGGGGAAATTGCATATACTTATCATTGGTCAATCTTCTCTTCCAGAAGTGAAACATGAGTGACAAGGAAAAGAACAAAATTTTACAGCGATATTATTTTAAAACAACAAACCCAGCATCCTATGCAGGTGGAAAGAAATTGTTCAACGTGCTGAATAAAAAGCATCCAGGAATATTTACAATCGCTTACATTAAACAGTGGTTAAATAATCAAGACGCCTATTCCCTGCAAAAACCACGACGCAATAGATTCAAAACGACCAACGTGCGTGTAACAGGTATCGGAGAGCAGTTGGATATAGATCTCCTGTCAATGTCAAACCTAGCCGATGAGAATGATGGTGTGCATTTCTTACTTTGTGCCATTGATATACTTTCAAGAAAGCTTTGGGTCAGACCATTGAGAAACAAGACGGCAAAGGTCGTTTTAACGGCTATGAAAGACATTCTAAGTGACATCGCGCCAACTCAAATCAAGAAAATTCGTGCAGGTAAAGAAAGTGAATTTTCCAACCAATGGTTTAGGAAGTTTATGAAAGACAATGACATTTACTTCTTTACAACGAACAACACTCCCTAAAAGTAATTTCGTCGAGAGAGTGCAGAGGACTTTGAAAGAAAGGTTGTACAGAATGATGAGACACGAAAGGAGCTATCATTATATCGATGAACTACAAAATGTAGTTGAAAGTTATAACGCGACACCACATCGCTGTTTAAACGGTTTATCTCCAAACGATGTCAAGAAAGATAACGAAGCCGACGTGTGGGCGCAAATGTACTTGAAAAAGACCAATAGAAAGAAAACAAAGCCTACGTTTCAATTCAAAATCAGAGATCTCGTACGCATTAGCTTTACTAAACAACCATTTCAGCGAGCTTATCAAGAGCAGTACACAACAGAGGTATTTAAAGTGGTGGGAAGACTTTTAAAGCAAGGCATTCCAATGTACAAGCTGATAGATTTGAATGCTGAAAGAATAGTAGGTTTGTTTTACGCGATTGAACTTCAAAAAGTGAACAAAGATGAAAACAGCTTATGGTTCATCCAACGTATCATAAAACAAGAGGGCCATGATGGCCCCGAGGTCGCTCACCTGTATATAGGCCCCCAGTACGGGGACAGTTTAAACCCCAGGGATTTTATTTGAACAAACTTGGAAGACACCCGTTAGAAGATGTTTCATGATGTTAAGTTTTTACTACACACATATAAAATAATGACCTTCCCCCTTTCTCTCTCCTCTCCTCCCCCCCCCCCCCCCAGGGCCAATTTTAACCCAAGGGCTTTTATTTGAACAAACTTGGTAGACACCCATAAGAAGATATTTCATGCTAAACATCTAAGCTCTAGCTCATTTGGGTTTTTTAAAAAAGATTTTTTAAGTTTTTACTATACACATATAGTTAAAAAGAATGACACCCATTGGGCGGGGCCAGTTTTGACCCCATGGCTTTTATTTGAACAAACTTTGTAGACACTTACTAGAAGATGTTTCATGCTAAATATCTTAGCTCTAGCTCTTCATGTTCTTTCAAAGAAGATTTTTAAGTTTTTGCTATACATATATAAGGAAAATCAATGACCCCCGGGGCGGGGCCAATTTTGACCCCAGGGCTTTTATTTGAACAAACTTTGAAGACACTCACTAGAAGATAATTCATGCTTAATATATAAACTCTAGCTATTTTGGTTTTTTCAAAGAAGATTTTTTAAGTGTTTACTATATGCATATAGGGAAAATCAATGACCCCCGGGGCGGGGCCAATTTTGACCCCAGCGCTTTTATTTGAACAAACCTGGTAGACATCCATTAGAACATGTTTCATGCTAAATATCTTAGCTCTAGCTCTTTGAGTTCTTTAAAAGAAGATTTTTTAACTTTTTACTATATGCATATAGGGAAAATGTATGACCCCCGGGGCAGGGCCAATTTTGACCCCAGGGCTTTTATTTGAACAAACTTGGTAAACACTTATTAGAAGATGTTTCATGCTAAAAATCTTAGCTCTAGCTCTTTGGGTTTTTTAAAAGAAGATTTTTTAAGTTTTTACTATATGCATATAGGGAAAATCAATGACCCCCTGCGGGCAGGGCCAATTTTGACCCTAGGGCTTTTATTTGAACAAACTTGGTAGACACTCACTAGAAGATGTTTCATGCCAAATATCTAAGCTCTAGCTCTTTGGGTTTTTTAAAAGAAGATATTTAAAGTTTTTTCTTTCGGTTGCCATGGCAACCAGAGTTCTGCATGGAATTAAATTCTTTGAACAATTTTTAAAGGAGACCACCAAAGGAACATTCCTGTGAAGTTTGGATGAAATTGGCTTAGTGGTTTATGAGGAGATGTCATTTAAAGTAAAAGTTTACAGACGGACGGACGGACGACGGACGGACGCCGGACGAAAAGCGATCACAAAAGCTCACCCTGTCACTTTGTGACAGATGAGCTAAAAAGTAGACACCAACAAAAAGATGTTTCCTGCTTAAAATCTAACCTCTAGCTCATTGGGTTTTTTAAAAGAAGATTTTTTAAGTTTTTACTATACACATATAGTTAAAAACAATGACACCTCTGGGGCGGGCCAGTTTTAACCCCAGGGCTTTTATTTGAACAAACTTTGTAGACACTTACTAGAAGATGTTTCATTCTAAATATCTAAACTCTAGCTATTTGGGTTTTTTCAAAGAAGATTTTTAAGTTTTTGCCATACACATATAAGGAAAATCAATGACCCCCTGGGGCGGGGCCAATTTTGACCCCAGGGCTTTTATTTGAACAAACTTTGTAGACACCCATTAGAACATGTTTCATGCTAAATATCTTAGCTCTAGCTCTTTGGGTTCTTTAAAAGAAGATTTTTTAAGTTTTTACCACATGTATATGCATAAAGAGAAAATCAATGACCCCCTGGGGCGGGGCCAATTTTGACCCCCAGGGCTTTTATTTGAACAAACTTGGTAGACACTCTCTAGAAGATGTTTCATGCTTAATATCTAAACTCTAGCTATTTGGGTTTTTTCAAAGAAGATTTTTTAAGTTTTTGCTATACACATATAAGGAAAATCAATGACCCCCGGGGTGGGGACAATTTTGACCCCAGAGCTTTTATTTGAACAAACTTTGTAAAATGGAGTTTCAAACTTTTGTGATAATCATTATATGCTTCTCATCAATCCATGCTTTGCAAGAAGAACACTATATGGATCAAAACTGTGGTGCTACTATTGACTCCAGCAGTAGAATTATATACGAATTTATTGAACCAGGAATTTACACGAGTCAACATTCATATTTAAATGTGGAAAGCATTACATTTGAAAGATTTCCGAATTCAGTAATTAATTTGAAAAACTTCCCAAATGTGAAGAAGTTCATCGTCAAGTCATTTTTAAATGAAAAATGCCCATTTATTTCGTTGAATACAACCGTTATCGTTCAAATTAATGAAGTGGAGAACACTTGCTCAGCTTTCATGGACCTAGACAGCATCAGTACCGGCAAAATAATGAATCAGGACACTACCCAAAAGCAGGTAAAAAATAACTGATTTTTTTTAATTCATGGCATTTATAATTTAGAATAATGTGGCTGTTGACCCGGGAAAAGCACAATCTCTCACTGATGAAGAGTCATAGGTTTGAACTCTACCACCATGTTCCTTAATGTGAGAAGGTTGACAGGTGCTTGTGGAGGATGAGAGTCTAGTACTGCTTCTTCCCATGTATGATGGTTAGGTCACTGCTCCTCAGATATAATTGATTACTGAAGAATTGTTGAAAACAAACTGAAAAAACTGGAATAAGTATATAAGTATAATGTAGGTACGATAAATAATATTTGAATAGTGCTGGTTATTTAGCACAATGCTATTTTTTTTCTAAAAAATTCAACTATTTTCAGACATTTGCTTCGACAACCAGCAATACACCACCGCAACCGACACCACTAGCCTAGTAAAGTCAACAAAAAGGTTGACATCCAGGTCATCTACCAGGTTGACATCCACCACAAGTGTCTTGTTAACAAAAACAAGATTGACATCTAGAAGGTCTTCTACTAAACTGACATCCACCACAAGTGCCTTCTCAAAGCCGCTAACTCCCACTAGTGCTTTAGTAACAACACAGCTTACATATGCCAGTATGTCTACCTTACACTTTTCTACTAGCCTTAATAAAACAAATCATAAAACCTTTCCTCATTACGCCATTCTATACTCCTTATGCTTTACCATCAGCATGTTTAGTATTTATAGCTGTGTTCTCTTTCGAAAATATATCAAAAAGAAATTGGCAGAAGTGTATCGCAAAATTAATAGACCGCCCATTTTCAGACCATCAATATTCAGAACAAATTCAGTGGATGAGTATTTAGTACCTCTTAATGATAGACTTGTTGGGACACAGGACAGTTTTTCTAGTTTTTCTACTAATTCGAATTATGAAACTGTTGAATTTGATAGAACTGCAATTGCAAAACTGTAAAATCATGCAACTGACTTTATTTTATACTACTATTCATTGTTTACCCTAGCTTTTGCCTATGCTTTTCCCTATACATTTTATTATTTTCAGTGATTGGTACAGCTACAGGATCGGTGACAATCATCACTGCATTGATAATTCTGGTGATATGTCACAAATATAAATATATCAAACTAAAGTCAGTGGCATTGGGGAACTTTAGAGCTTCGTTCACATCGACAACAGAAGCTACTCAAACATTCAATATGAGTGAGCTTTCAACATCAAGAGAAACTTCGCAATCATTGAGTCATTCCTTCAGACCTACCCATAATAGTACAAGAATTTCTGCAGAAATTCATGAACAAGTAGGTAATGAACTTGCAAACAGAACACAGGAACAAGAATTACCTCAGCAGCTAGAATTACCTCAGCAGCTAGAAATTCAAAGTGTAAATGAAACAATTTCAGAGGTAGAGGACAGTCCAATAGCACATAGACTTCGCTCTCAAACAAAATAGATTGAATAATGCCCAAGTTTATTCAGCTCGTATATTTTGGATGTTTACAGGTTCCGTATATTTTGGATGTTTACAGGTTCCGTTGTTATCATTCCATCATTGATTATGAAAATCCATGATATGTTTGCTAACATTCCAACATAAAATTTTAGGGAAGGATGAGAATTGTTCAATTATGCTTGCTGCATTTCAGGTTCAAATTTAAAGATTGTTTTTATAAGATGTTTTCATATCAGCATGATATTACATGCTTTGTAAGTGTTGTGAATTTTACAGGTTGATTACTTTACCAAAAAGTTACTAGATAGAAAAAGAAATATTAGGATATAGGACTTAATTGACTGATTGTCAAAATCTTGAATATTCATCATGTTTAAAATATATATAAACCTACATGTATATAGGTTTATATGAATAGTTTCAACCAAGGTTGTTTACAATTTCAATACTAGATCACCCTTAAAAAATTATTTAATTGATATAAGTGATCCAAGATTATAAGTGTAGGTAGGTAGGTTGATTTTTTTTCTGTTTGTGTTTTGTTAAACAGGATATTTTGAAATTTTTGATAATGTATAACTTGCATGTGATGCTTTAAAATAAAAGCTGAAAATCAAGACAAACCCTATGAAAAAGGTGAACAAAACTGTAAGTAATTAACAAAGAATAAAATGTTTTAAAATTTATTTTGTCTGCATATATATATAAAATTTACATGAAAATGAGTACAATAGAAAATGAGTACAATAAAAAAAACTAAAAAAAATAAAAATAAAAAAAAACATATTAATGTCTTAGGTAAACCATATGTAATTTGTGCACAACTTTGCTATAACATTGCATTATCAGTGACTTTGTAAAATCCAGTTCCAAATGTGTTTAAAAACACAGTCTAGAAGTCTTGTGCATGTTCTTGAATAATGTGCTCCTGAATAATTTCCATCTTGGTAAATCATCTGAAATGTAAAAATACTAAGAGTTAGTTCTCTTAAACTTGTTTTCATGAAATAAAGCATAAAATATTTAAAAGTGTTCCAACATGTATTTTATAACAACCACTGTTTTCAACATGTATGACATTGTTTTAAATTTCACTTGGAGGTGCATACAGACATTTAAAAAAAGATTTTCTGCTTTGAAAATGTATTACAAAGTTTACAACTAAGTGTTTAGGGGGATATAGCTGTGTTTTAGGCTGTCTGGTTAAAATATTAAAGTATTATGTGAAAAGTGTTATTTTGGAAAACTCATTCTAATTGGAAATGATTTACTTTTTAATGTGTGGAAATGATTTACTTTTTAATGTTGAAACTCTGATGGCACCTTTAAAAGATTATCTTGTATATAATGTTTCATTTTGTCTTTTGTCTTTAGTTTAAAAGTTTTGTTTTTTCTTTTAGTTTATAAAGTTTTTGTTCCCTCTAGTTTCTTATGAAAAACCTTCCAGTATTTCAAATTTTCAATTCAAAAAAAAACTTAAAATTTGCTCAGGTATAATGTTTTATTATTCAAGTTTTGTAGAATCTGTGATATGTATATTTTTGTTATGACATTCTGATTAAAGCTAGTTTGGGTAACATACTTATGTTTAACTCTATGTTATCACGGGGGGGAATCACGTGACTTTGTATAGTAATACCCACGAGAAAATGGCGACTGCTGAGCCCCGGTAAGTACCTTATTATGTTAAATTAAGGTGACAAACGTTTCTTAAATAAAAACAAAACCTAGCGTATCATATGCGCGTTAATTTTCTTCAAATGACAATACAAAGTGCATTATCCTACGTTTTGTGGTTTTTGAGAACATTGTTTGAATTGTGTGAAAATTGCACATTCAGCGATAGTAATTTGCACGAAGCGATATAATTTGGTACCAAAATAAATGAAAATAAGCTTTCTTTTTGCACTTAAGACACCAAATCAATCATTTTATTGACATATGTTATCGTAGAAGTCCATATAAAATTTTGTTCGAAGATCTGTAGCCTACAAATGTTCTTTGCAAGTGTTTAGTAAGTAAAACGAACAATTTCTGGATAGTAAGTTACACGAAAACAAAATAGTACGTTTCACGCACAGTTTCCAATAGCTTACTTAAATGTAACGAAACTATTTTATAATTCTTTTGGTTTCAAATTGTGTTCCGTCTACGGTGACAGAGAAACAAATATCGAGAGAGTATTTTAATAATAATTCATATTATTTCATAATACATGTATTCATATTCATATAATTTCATAAAAGATTACTTAACTTAAAATAACTAAATGAGACATTGACATTGATACTCAACAATGTACGTTACACTTGGCCCTTTTTCACGTTAGACTGGACCCGCATCCGTTATCTTTAGAACTAGATTTATAAAGAAATAACTGTGCAGAAGGAAATATTACACCATCATTTATTTTTCAGTATCTGCAATTTGGACCAACAAGAGCTGTCACAGGAGACAGCGAAGCTCGACTAATAAAATACTGGACGCAGTAAGGAGGACAAACTATGAAAGAAAAATCAATTATGTATAATTATGTATTAAGTTATAGTAAAAAAATAACATTTTTTAACATAAATTCCAAGATCAAGGGGAATAATTCTAGAAATAGTCATGCTAGAGTTATGGATCTTGCCACACAACATTTGTGTAATGATAAGAAATATATATTTGAAGTTTGAAGTAGATACCTTAAAAAATAAAGAAGTTATTATATTTCTTAAAGAAAATCTTAAGTTCAAAGACAGATAAATCTGTAAATATTGCTTCAAGAGTTATGAACATTGTCACATGAAATGTAATTGATGACAAGGAATAAGTATTTGAAGTTTGAGGTAGATACCTTTAAAAATTAAAAAGTTAAAATAAAAAATAACATTTTTCTAGTAAATTAATCTAAGTTTATGGGGAGATAATTCTTGCAATATTGGTGCTAGAGTTATGAACCTTGTCACATAAGATGCGGATGATGATAACGTAAATATATTTGAAGTATGAAGTTGATCCCTTTAGAAAAAAATAAGTTAGAGTAAAAAATAATATTTTGTATGGAAAATTCTAAGTTCAAAGGGAGATAAATCTGAAAATATTGGTGCTAGAGTGATGAACCTTGTCACATAAGATGGGGATGATGATAACGTAAATATATTTGAAGTATGAGGTTGATACCTTAAGAAATAAAGAAGAAATAGTATTTTTTGCGGAAAATTCTAAGTTCAAGGGGAGATAAATCTGAAAATATTGGTGCTAGAGTCATGAACCTTGTCACATAAGATGGGGATGATGATAAGGTACATATATTTGAAGTATGAGGTTGATCCCTTAAGAAATAAAGAAGTATCAGTAAAAAATAGTATTTTTTAAGGAAAATTATAAGTTCAAGGGGAGATAAATCTGAAAATATTGGTGCTAGAGTTATGAACCTTGTCACATAAGATGGGGATGATGATAAGGTACATATATTTGAAGTATGAGGTTGATCCCTTAAGAAATAAAGAAGTTTCAGTAAAAAATAGTATTTTTTAAGGACAATTCTAAGTTCAAGGGGAGATAAATCTGAAAATATTGGTGCTAGAGTTATGAACCTTGTCACATAAGATGTGGTTGATGATAAGGAACATATATTTGAAGTTTGAAGTTGATACCTTAAGAAATGACAAAGTTATAGTGAAAAATATTTTACTGCACCAAAACTTTAATCTAAAATCTGGACGCGGACGCCGACGCCGATGCCGACGCCGGGGCGAGTAGGACAGCTCTCCATATACTTCGTATAGTCGAGCTAAAAACGCAAAGAAGAAGACATTCGCCATTTCACATTGATATTTAATGCCATCATAGAACTGGTATACAAAGTTTTTATTAAATTTATTCTTTTATACACTGGCAGATTTTATAAATTAACCCAAGAAGTTTTGTTAAAATGTTATGTATTACTATACGTTTATTTTCTTACCATGTGCAAATGTGTTGCGTCGTAAACTCTTGCTTTTTGTTTGTGATAGAGTAAGTAAATTTTTATAAGATATTCAGTGCGTCCATGACCAGCATCTAAGATTGTTTTATGTAAATATTTTTTTTACTCCACTTGCCTTCATATCTTTGACCGTTTGATTTCAAATATTCGTTTTTCTTTGAAGGTCCATTATGCCTCTTAAATGCTATCATTTTTATTTTAAAAAAAACTGTTTATTTTTGGTATCTTGTTACAGTTTCCGAAAACATACTCATTTGCTAGATACTCAAACTATCTTTTACATCTTTGGTTCTGTTGGAAAATGGTATACCTTTAGTGAATAAGTATTTCGTATGGAAGTCAAAATACTACTTTGTTTACATTTTGCTACCTTAGCGACACATCATATAATATAATGTTCAGTGCTACCTTTTTCAGTTGTAATAAAATACTATCATACGTTTTATCCATTATTTAAACATTATCAAACACATGTTTGACATTTCTAAAGAATTTAAACAATATGGATTTCTGAGGAACAATGTGCCTTTAATCATAACTTGTATCACTGTATCATTGTTGTTTGTTGTTGTTGTTTTTTGTTTTTGTTTTTTTGTAAGAAGTTATATTTGTTCTTGCGAATTCTTCAATATATTTTCATAAATTAAGTAACATAGTGACTAAATGTAACAAATACCGCCATATAAAAACATCGATCAGCATTCAGTTAATAAACATCACCATACCAATTAACAAGCAATTATATTTATTCATTACAGTAAAATGAGGGCCAAGACACACCTGAAACTGCAGAGGTCAAAGAACTACTATCGCCACAGAAAAATAACACTGAGCCGTGTAATATCAAATCCCATCAAAAGTTCATTTGATATATTATAATAACAACCAATTAAGCATTCGTCCTATAGACAAAAAAGTGAAATATTTGATCTTGAATAATGGAAATAAGTATTTTCTATCTCTTAACATATGAACTTTAACTTTCTTTTAATGTATATGTATGCTAATGGAAACTGTGCGTGAAACTTACTTTTTTGTTTTCGTGTAACTTACTATCCAGAAATTGTTCGTTTTACTTACTATACATTTGCAAAGAACATTTGTAGGCTACAGACCTTCGAAAATATATTTTTTATGAACTTCTACGATAACAGATGTCAATATAATGATTGATTTTGTGTCTTAAGTGCAGAAAGTAAGTTTATTTTCATTTATTTTGGTACCAAATTATATCGCTTCGTGCAAATTACTATCGCTGAATGTGCAATTTTCACACAATTCAAACAATGTTCTCAAAAACCACAAAACGTAGGATAATGCACTTTGTATTGTCATTTGAAGAAAATTAACGCGCATATGATACGCTAGGTTTTGTTTTTATTTAAGAAACGTTTGTCACCTTAATTTAACATAATAAGGTACTTACCGGGGCTCAGCAGTCGCCATTTTCTCGTGGGTATTACTATACAAAGTCACGTGATTCCCCCCCGTGGTTATGTTATCTACGCATGTG